TCCAAATTCGTAGACTCCTCCGAATGCAGCCGACAAATGCGTCCTCCTTTTCCCCAAATTTGAAGGATGGGTCGGGTGTGTCCTTCGTGGCCCACCATATCCCAGAATTCATAGCGCAGCCCAGCCAAACTCCAGTTTCCAACAATGGCGGCCGCTACTAAGTTTTAAAATTACTCATACTAATCTTTCTGGGTCACAAAATAAACTTTTAACATATTTTCAGGCAAGAAAGTAGCTGTGTAAACATCAAATATCTGCTCGGTTTATCAAAATATCGCATATTTGCAAAAGTGCTTCGACGTTTTCGGAGACGTCTGCTACCCACCAGCTCGATAGCTAGCTGGGAGCTCTAGGGTCACTGATGCGGCCGAGAATTTACACCAGTGTCCTGTTATATTTTAGATAGCAAGGAGCAGACAGCTGAGTTTATTAAACTCCACCGAGACAGCGGTGACGCTAATCAGAAGGCTAGACCGTCCAATTTCCCCAGCCGTTTACTTCCGGCCTACCCGACCTTCTGAGGACCCGGCCCACGTAGACCGCGAAGGCTGGGTCCTCAGCCCATGAATTTGGACACGACCTATATTTGGATAAGATTCCAGAGTGCCATGTCATAAGCTAAGGCTAGCAAGCTCTGTTAGCAACTAGTGTCCATAACATACAAGCTAATGACAGGCTAATAAAATACCAAAACTAGAGCACTGATTTCTTTGACAGTCTGAACCTTGCAACTATTTTTCTCAGATAATTCCAGTAAAAATGCTTTAGAAGAAACTGACACCAGCAATGTTCAGCTCATCTTTGAAACCAGGGAAGCTATCCTCTGCTGGCTGAAAGAATAGGTTGAAGGCTCTACTTCTTTATTAGTGATGCATGCATTAACCTAGCTTGTTGCGCCCCTCTGCAGCCCCTACTCTCTTTGCAGTGGCAGTGAAGGAGTGTTCAGCTGTTGCTAATTGACCACACCTAGTCAGGTGTGGATAAAGGCATATATGAGGCAGGCTTTCATGGAGGCACAGTAGTCTCTGTCTTAGTAGTACCAGCTATTTTAGTTAATGTGTTACATAAATAATAAAAGGTGCTATATATAATAATAAAACCTCTTCTCATTTAAATTCTGGTATTAGTCTCCATATTTGTCATGGCTGCAACAGACATGTGGAATGATAGAAGAATGAGGACCCAAATGCAGACACAGATGCAGGAGAATGTTTTGAACGGACAGCGAGGCTTCGGCTGAACAATACTCCAAACCGGTGGAACAGAGAAAACTAACAATATCTAAACTTCGGAAAACTAAGCATAACATGTAACCTGAGGGTGGAGCAGAACCGGGGGATGAGGAACTGGGAAAGAGGGAAAGCTGACAGAGATAACGCTGAGGCAACATAGGGAAGGCACGCAGAGGTAACACAGATGGAGCAGTAACAAGCAGAAGAAAACACAGGGCTTGAGCCAGGCCGTAAAACATAAATGGGGGCTCGTCCAGGATAGTTTGGACATTTTTGTGGAGAGATATATATACCAATTATGTCACAAATAGATGTTACTCATCATGTCAGATCTTTTTTGAATGAAGTAGGTTTTCTGTGGGTTAGCTTTAGGTCTTGTAGACTTCTGGTTGAGAGGCTCAGCAACATGCCACACCTTCTTGGGAGATTTTTTTCCAGGGGTGAGGGGGGTACATGAAGGCTGCATTCTGGATCTGATCATTAATATCTTCATCTTCATTGAAAGGGAACGTCCCACTGAGACTGCAAAAACATAAATACTTTTAGTTTTTTGCACATTTATCACTAATCTTTTCATAATAATAGAAATTCATTAAAGTATAGATGGTATCCTATAGATGTTACATTGTGTTTACAGAAACACAACTAAAAAAGGAGAAGGATGAGATAAAGGAAAAACTCAGAAATAGACAAGCAGAAAGAAGAATAAAATTTTAAACCAAAATCTACTCAGACTATTATGTTTATCAGTAAAGGTATCATCCTACCTGACATAGATGATGACTCCAACTGACCACATGTCCAGAGAGCGGTTGTAGCCTTTATTTCTCAGAACTTCAGGAGCAAGATATGCTGGTGTTCCGACCACTGAACGCCTGAATGACTTCTCACCAATGATTCGAGCAAACCCAAAATCACACAGCTTCACCTGCAGCAGGAGCAATATAAATTACTAAAGCTGTTAGTAGTGGAGGTAAAAGTAAAACAATGTAAAAGCTGGCTGGTCATTTCACAGCATTATATCTATGGTCTTAACCTACACAACTGTCAGACTGGTAATACTAGACTATAGCAGTGATATGTAGTAAAAACATTAGGGTTGTTCACAATAAATGTCTAAAACAGTCAATTTTTCTGTGTAGTGTGACACATTTGACATTCATTTGTCTTTATAATGTGAGGCTTATCAGTGTCTTGGACAGGAATTTATTACTCTTTAACCACCTGATCTAACATAGTAACCTTCTAGCCAGAAAGAAATATCATGGTGTTAGTATTTAAATGGACATGTGGATTGATTCTAAGTGTAACGAAGCTACTAAAAGTAAAAAAACAAACAAACTGTTGGCCGTTAGCTTGCTGGATGATTCACTCACACTCAGGAGGAAGATGGAAATTATTATGGATATGTTGGCTCTTTTCAAGGTTGTGATGAATCATTTCTCTTTTGCAGACCTAAACATGCAATCTCACATCGTTGTCTAAATGTATTTCGAGTTGTTTCATGGGCTGTCTCTCCATCCTGATACTCAAATATGGAGACTTAGATTTGGAGTCTTAATGTAGGAAAAATCAATAACTATTTATCGAGCAATAACCACACAAGGTGGTTTCAGTGGATATCAAAATTGTCTCTCTGTAAGTTTGTAGAACCACATGGATTTATCAGGTTATGTGATATAGTGACATTGTTGCATCTCATCAATCAGCATCTGGGCAGAGCATTTTCAAACTTTAGTGTTCTTCCAGAATTCAGGAAATTCAGTTTTTCACCCTAAACTATTCCCACACCTGTGGTCATAACTAAAAATGGTAGGCTGATGAAACTGGCACATTATATGAGTGAATAGTTATACTAAATGTTTACATATGCATTGCTTGGTTTTGGTTTCTAAAAATTAAATTTGATGCCTGGAAATTTGAGGTGCTCTATCACCTGAAACTATCTCAAGTTATGCAAATTATTTTTAGGCATACATCAACTAAGTCATACTTGTGTTTTTAATTTATTTCTATATTAAATATAACACATTAAAACTTAACTTATAACTTTTAGCATAGTAGAGCTCAGTAGTCACAGAGCCACAGTGATCTAGCAGATCTTCTAGTAGTAGTTTACCTCATTTTTAGAGCTTTTCAAACTATAAATAATGTGATTTTACCGTGTTTTGTGACCTTATAGTACTTCCCACCAAAAAAGAAATACCATATGTTCATAGTTTTCAGTCACATTATTGACTGAATTGACTATTATTCTCTAGCTGACAAAAATTTACTCCATTATGACAGACAAAACTGGACAAAAATGTTTTGGGAGGTCTTGGATCATCTATCCGTGGAGGAAAAACAATAATATACAGAGAAACTATGAATTTTGCAGACTTATGATCCATACCCCCCCAAGCGACTTTATTTCAAAGTACAGACAATTACATGTATTTTTAAATATTCTTTGTGCATTTTTCTGGATAGGTAAATTATGCCGCCATGTGGAACAAGAAATTGTTCAGCGTTCAAATAAAGGTAAGCGCTACATAGACACGTAAATCTTTCATTTTGACATTTGCTGACTTGCACTTTTATAGTGTAGAACCAGAGAAGTTCCTATAGTATTCATTTGTCACATAAATGTTGTGTCATAACAATAAAGCTGAGTGAGTATTTTTCCATTGTCAGGCTAGGAATGTGTTTTCTCTCTATATGATTTCAAAATATCAAACCTGAGTTCAAACATTTAGACCTACTTAATATTCCTTTCTTAACATATGCTAAATATATTGTTAGCTTTCTAGCTACCTGTAGCACAAACTAACTGTGTACATTAGTTATATAGACTAAACAGAACTGTAACTGACAGTTTTATTCAGCTATGCCAACAATATCTCTCTTGCTCCCAGTCGTATTAAACTAGTTTACATACTTTCTCTTTACTGACACAGACATAAATCTGATGCCAATTACCTCAAATGATTCTGAGAAAGATAAAAAAAGAGGATTTTGATAAATGTCATATTATTCTTTAAAATTTATTGATTTCACTTGTTTATGGCAACCGGCTGACACGCAAACGTTAACACATCTCTTCCAAATGGAGCCAGATATTTGCATTTTGTTTGTTTCATGATATTTCAGAGGAACAGGCTGTGCAGATGATACACACTAAGTATCATGTGAGGAATTATGAGCCAAACAGCTAAATGATGCATCACTAGAGTTAACAGTTAGTCTGTCTGACACTAACAGCTATTTCTAAAGACCGAACACTGAAGGAAGCTGCTAATAGTTACACTGACAGCTAATGGAGTGTCTATGTCCAACTTTTATTGCTTGCATCCACAAATACTAATACGTGTGCGTGTTTTGTATTTTCCGTTTCTATCACTGCATAACTTCACTCTTTCTGCAGCTCGGAACTCAACACACATCATTTTTTTTACTACTGTTGTTTGCCAGTGTTGTCAAGACATGCAAATTTTTCTGTAGATAATTCAGATAAAATTAGAAATTAGAAGAATTCTGACATAACTTTTAAACAGCTATACTAAAAGTTACAAGATATTAATAACTGAGAATTTGAAACCTTTAACAGATTATTTGCATAAGCCTGAATAAAGGTAGTCAATATTATCTAAACGGTGCAGGACCTGGGTGGAAACACAACATCTATTTAACAGTCTCACAAATATCATCTTCAGCCTTAGCAAAAACATCTACTTGACAGAGCAGTTCTATTACTATTACATATTGTCATGAATAATATGCAGAACTAAGGCTGAATCATGATAGAGCACCTGCAGCAAAATGCCAGCAGCTGAATTGAGAAAAACAGGGAGTTCTGATGAGGATATTGGGTTTAATGTTTAAAACATTAAGATAGTAATACTCCATTTCAGTCCACCATACAATGCCTGAAAGATACGTTTTGTGCCTTGCTTTCCCAACTGGCTTCAGCAAGTTCAGGTTCAGAACATGCTTGCTCTGTTGATCTGATTGTTTGAGGTTTACCTAGGATAACTGACAAATAGCCCATCCAATCAACTGACTTCTTTTGCATTTTTCCACTGAAAACTTTGTCACAAACGCTTTAATCAACTGGCTCCTTTCGATGTAGAGGAGTAGCGAGTCTACTCTAACCCCATCGCTGATTGCGAAGCTCTTGATCCATGATCTTGTTGTTCTGGTCATTACCCAGAGTTCGTGTGCATAGTTGAGGGTGAGAACGTAGATCAACGGGTAAATCCAGAGCTTATACTCTCAGCTCTCCCTTCACCACGATGCACTGGTACAACACCCACATCACTGCAGCCGCAGCCCCAATCTGTCTGCTGATCTCCCATTTCCCTCACTCGTGAACAAGACCCCGAGATACTTAAACTTAGGATGGATACACATCTCCATTTGAAAAACAGGTACTGTCCAAGCGTAACAAATAAACACATAAACATACTACCTGGGGGAAAGAGTCTGCAGAAGCCAGCAGGACATTTTCAGGTTTCAGATCACAGTGGACAATGTTCTTGAAGTGGAGATGACGCAACGCCACCAAGATCTGACAGTGAGACAGAAAAACACAGATTGCATTTGCTATAATGATGTTGGACCTCTTGTCAAACACTCAATGCTAATGGCACCGGTCAGGCAGTAAATCTATGCAAGGGGAACACTAAAATACTATGGTCAGGCCGTAATTCAATTCAATTCAATTCAATTCAGTTTTAATTTCAATTTTAGTCCCCAGTCAAAAGTACAAACATAACTGACAAAAGCACAATGCAACATAACACAAATGAGACTCACTTACTGTCTGAACTTTACAACCTCCCTTTGAGATGCTCTGCCAGGCCTTTACTGAATCCATCTTTAGTTACTGCTGGTTTGCAAGTCTCTGCCTTCAGTTATGTTCTATTCATTTTCTTACCCATTGTTCATGTGCACAGTGAAGTGTCTGATCAGTGTTGCATCATTTGGCTGAATGTGAGCAGAGATTATAGACCTATACAATCAGAATTTTTCCAGTAATTCCTATCAGCAGTAACATGATTATTAAACACTCTCAGCTCAGGAGGTAGAGCAGGTCACCTACTGATCGGAAGGTTGGTGGTCCGATCCTTGGCTCCTCCAACCTGCATATCAAGTATCCTTGTGCAAGATACTAACCCCAAATTGCTTTCTGACGCATCTATCGGAGTATGAATGTGTGTAAATGTACTGAGAAAGCACTAAGTTCAGAGAAAGTGCTGGTGAGAATGGGTGTGATTGGGTCAATCAATCAATCAAGGCTTTATTCGCCACGTGCAGTGAAGTGAAATAGGACCCCCCCCCCCCCCCCTTACACACACAACACAGACATCACATGGGGATACAGGTCGGAGATCGGTAGCGTTACAGAAAAACACTGAAATATACACTACAATGGGAAAGTACAAGAGGAAAAAAGGAGACCTCTACTCATGCTGGGCTCCTGGGAGGACAGCATGAGAACAGGAAACAAAAAAAAAGCACATAAATGTCCACAGCACAACATTATGGAACACGTGACAAGCCACAGGGTCGGGTGGGGGGTGAGGAGTAATCCGAAGCAAACACAGCAGCCATCCTGCCCAGCGCTACCATTCCAGCACGGGCTCAGACCCGCCGTGGTCCCAGGAGGGAACAAGCATCGAAGGCGTTGTACAGAGTGCTTTGAGTACTCCGGGAGAGTAGAAAAGCGCTATATAAGAATCAGTCCATTTACCATTTGTCCTGGATGTGGTCACTGGATTTTTCTTAACAAAGGCTAAATTTATGGACCCAAACCTTTGTGACTTTGTTTTTACAGTTAGGGTCAGACAGGGTGATGTTATAATTGAGGCAAAGTATCACCTGTGTCACCAGGAACTTTGTGATCCTCTCAGGAAGTCGGCCTTTCTCACTAGACAGGATCATCTCCAACATGTCTCCATGAAGCTTCTCCATGACCACAAACACTCGCTCTGGTGTCTCAAACATACAGTCCAGGTTGACCACCCCTGGATGATGCAGGCTCTGAAAGGACAAGAGAGATCAGTTTAGACAGTTTACAATCTCCTGGGTGGGAGATTCAGTTAAAGATTTTTTAAATTGGATTTCTTCAGGTGAACCTACCATATTTGGTAATAAAAATGCTTTAATCCTAAGTATTTAATATGAATTGCATACTTTTTAGCATTTATGTTATTTGTATGCAGTGATGGTTTAATTAAACTGGAATACAGATAAAGATGAATTGTGAATAGAGTTATGTCCACATCTAAATTTAACAACACAAGCGCCTTCTTCTTCATTTTAACCTTTGCATGCTTTTTGGGACAAATTGGACCTGTTTTGTTTTTTGACACCAGAAGAACTAGGTGTACTTCTTTTATTCTGAAATTTGATGGCTTAAAACTCAAATATGATATTAATGAAATATTTTATACAGTTTTAAAGGTGGCAAAAATATTTGTACACTGAGGCTGTTTCAGTTTGACTGAACGAAAATTAACGAGTTTGAGGATTCTTGAAACTCTGAAAACTGTACATGCCATGTCTCTGTAACATTTTTAAGGGACAGTGATAACAGAGTTCAAGCGTTACCTTGACACTGTCACAAGAACTGTCTGTGTTCTCACTGCATGTGTCTAGGTTCCAATGACAGGCACCTAAAGGTCTTTGAAGTGTTATGGGTGAGTCTCAAAACAGTGAAATAGTAAAACAGCACAGGACTGATCACATATGATGCACATGAGGAACAGAAGTCAGACGTCAGAGACTGCCATGACACAAACACAATATGTAACAAAATAATCTAACACGTTACAGTCTTTTATCCTAATCTGAGATTAAAACAGAGATCTAATGAGGGGTTTTACATATAAGTAAATATTAGTATAAAATAAATTCATCTGAGCTGTGAATTTAAGAGTGGGAAAGTTATAACATCAAGATTTTCTGTTCAAAAAACGCTTCACCTAATCTTCCAAGATGAACGATGAAGATAGCTCTGAGGCAGCAAAGGAAACATTTATTTCAAAGGCCCTCATGACTCTTTGCATGCAAAAATGACACCATCTTCCCTGCGTGGGAGCTTTAGCAGCAGTGGCAATGGCAGCACAGCAATCTGAGCCTGGCCCTGATCAACACGTCACACAAGAAGCCAACACAAGGAGACAGAAGGGAAAGAGATGCAACTTCTGCTCTGCAATAGATGACTGCGAAACAGGGACAGCGTGCTTCAAACGTGGGAAATACATGTCGAAGTCCCTAATCCCACAGATGCAAGGTTTCCCACCATTGCTTTGAATGCACTGACTGGTTTGCAATAAGCCACTGATATGGAATATTAACAATCTGTTAGGATGCCTGGGTCGTCGACCCAGGGTTTTTGAGTTTATGATATTATTTATACTGTCTAGTTTTTGGTTTCTTTGAGTTCTGTCTTTTGGCTTAGGTCTCTGTCTTCTTTAGTTGCTCTGTCTCCCCTATAACCCGCATCCCCTTGTCTAGTTCGCGTCTATGTGTATCTTAAGTTCCTATATCCCCGTGTTCAGTCAGTGTCTGTGTCTGCCCTGTTCCCACGTCTCTGTTCCCTTTGTAGTGCCTGCTTATGAGCCTGTGTCTTTGTTCAGTCTGTATTATGTGTTTCCTGTTTTACTTTGAAAGTCCATGTCTGATGTTAATGTGTCTGGTTTTGCTTCCTCTTGTCTCGTTAGGCCTGATTTGCCCCAGCTGTGTTTCCCTCCTGTTACCCATTCCCTGATTGCTCCCTCTGTGTATTTAAGCCCTGTGTTTCTTAGTGTCTATGTCGCGATCTACAGTTTATTTTGCTGTGTGTTTTGTCAATCCGCCGGTGTTAGTTTATTTTTTACCTTTTTTCCCCCAGTTATGTTATGTTTGAGTTCAGCATTAAAGCTGTTTTGGTTTAAGTTCTGTCTCCGGAGTCTGCACCTTGGGTCCTATTCCTGCCTGCACACAGCCTCACCTAACACAATCATGATGGCACTTGTGAATATTTTTAATGGCCTCGGAGGATGGATAGCGCTGTTTTTGCTATTTTCACTTTCAATAAACTAATATTTAAATTATTATGGCTTTTATGTTGTCATTTTTGGGAAAGAGAGCATAATATTGTGTTATCATAGATGTATTTGATCAAGAACAAGTGCGCCTGCTTCTCTCCCTGGGAGGTACGGTGGCAAATATATTACTTCTTTACTTGTACTTCCTGTCCTGGCTCACATTATAATTTATATTTAGCAAACCAAAGCAAAAACATGATGCTCATAAGATGAAGAAGAGAGAGCAGGATGGGTATAGCGCCAGGATGTTGAACTTAAGCAGTGCTGGCATGACTTGGCTAAGTGAAAGGCATGAAACACGCAGTTCTTAGAGTGTTTATATAAAGGAATGCCACGGCTTATATTTTGAAAAAAACACTGTCATACTGTAATATGTGTGGGTGGTTTATGTAGACGCTGCAGTTGTATAAATGAGCGTGCTTGTTTGGTTCAACGATCCCATCCAGCCAATCTGTGAAGAGCTCTGGTTGTTCCAAGCTCATAGACATTACTTTATGTCACTTCAGCGAGGATAAATCTGTTTTGGGTGAACATGATATGACTTTATACAATAAGCTTAAGTAAATGTGCCAGTGTACACTGACCACAACTCTCTCTCTAATGTGAAGAATGTAAAATTGTATCCACTGTACTTTGCCTCTTATAGAAACGATATTAATGATTAAAGATTCAAAGATCCGAAAGCATCCTCACCCATTTCCCTAACGGCTACAACAATCATTCAAATAAAATGCCAAAAAAGCTGATATGGACCCCAAAGGTAGCAGGAAGCCATTTCCCAAACAGCTCCAGTCTGCTGAGCAGCCAAGCAGAACAGATATCAGCTGAGGGGAACTCAAGTGTGTTTTATGTGCAGGTGTGTGTAGCAGCAGCGGCAGCAGAGCAGGAATATTTTCAGATGTCACACCCCTACAGTGTTGCCACGGTAATGAAGTCGTTCACAACAGGAAATTTTACTCCCTGCCAACAGTATCCTTAGCAGCATGGATCTGTGTGTGTGTGTGTGTGTGTGTGCGTTTACCTGCAGGATGGCCACCTCATTGCGCAGCTGACTCTCCTGTTTGGTGGGGAAGCGGAGTTTGTCGATGATTTTGATGGCAACGTCTCGGCCGGACTTCCTGTGCTTACCTGCGTGGAATAAAACCCCAATCTGAGTCACAAACACACTCAGCTGTTCCAGAATGTAATCAAAGCAACAAGTTGAAGAACCTGAATGTGAGAATTGGTTTTCATGGGTTTAAACACTGTAAATGTAATATTCTTCAATATTCTCGATTTCTGAAGCGTTGGTTAGATAAACTTTGACATCTGAAGAATGTTTCCAAAGTTTATCTTACCTTATGTCCTCCAGGATCCCCTTTTAATGGGAGCTTTTCTTTACCAACATATTCATTATTAACATATGTGTTTAAGCACTACTGTGAATACAGAAAGTTCTACATCCTTATGGTCTTACTTTTAGTATCCTAAAAATCTAACCACATATCTGTGATATGGGTATGGTGTTGGCAAACACAACGACAGCCAAGCCTCAGCTAAGGAGTTTTGAGCTTGTGTGCTTGTGTATGTGCGTATAATTTTTCTGTGATACTGGATTGGAAGAAGAGAGCAAAATTAAATAACTGTAGTAAGTGAAGCTGGTGCCCTGAGATAAAGCTGCAGTGATTTCCACTACAGAATCGTGTCTTTTTGTTGCATGTGGACCTGGCGGTCACAATTACTCCCTGATCTTATCCCATGCTTAAAGATATTTCTCAGGATTATTGAACTTTTTAAACATCGGGCACCACAGATGAAATTTCCAATTTTTTTGCAGTTTTATGTCGACAAACAAAATCACTGAACTTTTTCCATGCACTGTGTTTCACAGAGGTTACATTTCATCTTAATGAATCGGGCTCTTTGTGGCACGTTTTACAAAACCTTTTTCTGAAACAACAAAAACGAATTGTGATTAAGTTTCATGTTGCCCAACTGATTTTTTGTCTCTCTCTCTAAGTTAAAACCAAGTAATATTTCCTGTGTTTTTAGCTGTGCAGAGTCTCATAGACGAAGAATGCGTTCCACAGGAGAATAAAGTCACAGAATTTTAAAAAATACATTTACATGTATTGGAAATAGAAGATTAATTTTTTTGTGCTGAAAAAGAAAACATTATGCATTTGGTGCAATGACAGCGTGTCTCAAATTCAGGTTTTACCTCCATACACAATGCCAAACTGTCCTGAGCCAAGAACCTCGTCTGGGAAGATTTGATACACTGAGTTGATGTCCTGGAAAACACAAAACACAGTCTGAGTAGCAATTCATAAATCATCAGATGGGGTCCAAGAAAAGGGTCAAATGAAAGTGAAATAAATGACTGAGACCAGTGTAGCGAAGCCTAAACCCCCTGCCAAAGGATAATGGATGCAGGGAGAGGCTGAAGTTCAGGGTGTCCAAATCCATCAGCCAATGGAGATAAAAGAGCTAGTTGCAGGGGCATGCCACCCTGAGGATGGAACTGAAGTTTAATGTTTTGTCCTCAGTCTTTTTACAAATGGACACATTAGGAAATGCTTGTTGGGCGATGGCAGATGTTTTGAAACCAAGCATAACATATGCAGATCCAAAATGAGAAGATGGAAACTAAAAAAAAATCCTTTAGTCAAGTTAGCAGAGCTATGACGTCACCCATTGGTGCTTTTACTGAGGTGCTCTGGTGTTAACATCACAAGTGACTTTTACCAATTAGAATACAGAATAGATCCATCCTGAGGCATGACCTTCTTTGGGATTCTGTTTGACTATAACGGGGACCACAACCTACAAAAGACTAATAATAAAAAGATGATAAAAAATAAAAATCTTGAAACTACTGATTGAGACCATAACCTCATTCTCCTCATTGTTTCCTGAGGTCATAGATCAAATTAAGTGCCAATACAACTCATTTTAAAATTGAGAAGTTTCCCCCCCCCACCTACTGGGAAAGAAACAATGTCTCAGTCTCAATGAACTGGTCCCACCCAACTTAACTAAACATTTATAGCCCTACACTCCGACCACAGCACTTAGGTCTACAGACCAACTAAGTTGGATGTTCTCTGAGCCAGGCTTAAATAGAGGTGACAGAACGTTTTTGGTGTCAGCCTCTAATCTTTGGAACCACCTACCATTGCACGTAAGAGCTAACCCAGTCACCCTGTGATTTGTAAAATGCGGTTAAAAACCTACGTATTCTCTCTGGCTTTCAGCTCTAGCTAAGCTGTATATCATAGCTTTTACTGTGTAAACCCTGTTTGTTGTTTTGATTATGTCTTACTGAGACTGTGTATTTTAGCACATATTTGTTGCTAATTTAGTCATCATTTGTATAGCTTGTATAGTACTTTTCTCTATTAAGTTTTTTGTTTTACGTGTGCTACAGAAATAAACATTAACTTGACTTGACTTACATTTTCACACACAGGAGACACCGTAGGTCCTTTTTTATATAAAGTCTATGACAACAAGTTGTAAAACATTCTTATGCACTCTGGGCCATAAAACATACCTTTCTCAGGTTTAAAATAGACTGAAACTGCAAGTTCCTGTAATTAAAGTTTCAGGTCATGGTTAAGTTCCTTGAATGGAAAACTGCAATGAAGGAAAGCAAGAGAGGCTCACAGAAAGTGGGTTCAACTAAAAAAAGTGAATGCATCAATTCATCACCTGGCAGAGAAGATTTCCGGAATTATTTTTTTGGTAGAGAAAGCCTACTGTGCACCTCTCTCAGTGTAACTACACAACGTCAGTGATCCTCCACAGCTTTGACACCAAAGCTGCAAAATATTTTCTCCTTCATTTGTCTGTAATTACGTCTCCTTTTTCTCCCCTGTTAGCTGACAGCCTAATATCACACCTCAAGCAAAGAGAACAGAAATACAATATTATAAACTTCCTCCCCCTTCCCCAAGCTCACTGCGTAATTACCATCGTCACCATGGAAACCGTTTGGCTGAGTGAGTAATCACAGTAATCTCCATTTGAGGTGTTTGAAGACGTGCTCACCTTGGAGACGGCGAGGTGCACGTCTGCATAGAAATGGGACTTGATGTTCTCTGCAGTTGCATTTATATGCAATGCAATGAATAGAAAAATGAATAGAATTTGCAGATATTGGAGCCTGATGTAAATCTTTTTGATGTAAATGTAGTGTTTCAAGCATAGTGACACGCTCTGGGAATCTCTGCAACATGACCCAGAAGTCTTCAAATGCAAATTAAGAAGAAAGTGACAGAAAGCAGGAAAAAAAAAAGAACTGGATGGAGGGGATTTCAGTATGAACAGGATGTTGTGTTGTCTGTCAGAGGTTGAAGATGGGGACTCTGTTTATAAGTGTGGGTATACAAACAACATGTCCTGATGCTGGTTTGAGTGCAGTGTCAGTTGGAGTGCCAGGAAACAAAGCATGAATGAAAGCATGGTGCTGATGTAACATCTAATCCAGGTTTGGGTCATCCATGTAAAACATTAGCTGTCCAATATCATCATGTCTAGGGGGACACATCCTACCACATGACTTAACTGACTGACCGTTAGTGGAAGGTCGGGTGAAACCTCGGTGCAAAAATGTCTACCCGAAAATCTCAAATGTTCAGTCAAAGCAAGTCAGTGTCTCATTTAAAATGAGAGAAAAACACAATATGCACTCTTGCCTGATGAAGATTGTGACATGCTTTGTTTGCCCTGTGAACTTGTAGATCTTGAAAGAACACTGTCACTTTCTTTAACTCTTATTTACAGAGCAGGTATCTGCAAGGAAGTTTATTTGCCAGTGACATTCTGCAATTCAGTGTTTCTCAGCTTTATTACTTTGATCTCAAATAAAAATTGGTTGGCTCCCTTACTTTGTGACATCACTTTCCTGATGGTTTTATAGGCTAGTTTGAGATTAGTTAAGCAATCCTCATTGGTTAAGAAACTGTCAGAGAAAAGTCATTACCCTCAAGTCTCAAAACATCATGACAGCAAAGGTGAAAATGCTCAGCACAAGGCTTCATGATATAACATAAGGACTTTACTAACCAGCGGGTGACATGGAGATAGACGGCCATGTCAGTAGTTTTAGAGGCTCTTGGTATTCTGATGTCGTCGATGTCATGGGTGCATGAATGTCTGAACCAAATTTTAAGAAATTCCACTGAACAGTTTTTATTCGCATAGAGATTTCATTTTGTCCTCAAATGCCAGAAAACACTTTACAAGAGAATTAAACCTTGTAATATGGTGCACGAAGAAGAAGCTTCCTTAAGCTACACCCTTGTTACAAGGGGTCATCACTGCAATGGATGGCCTTACTTCCTGATCTGGCTTTCCAGCTGGACTCAAACCACAAAGCTTTGGCTTAACAAGCAAATATGTTATCCACTACATTATGGAGCCACAGACTTTATGCAAAAGCAATCCAAAAATGTGTGTGTGTGTGTGTGTGTGTGTGTGTGTGTGTGTGTGTGTGTGTGTGTGTGTGTATATTTGTATTTTTTCTCTTACCACATTCTCCTGGATCTGGCAGTTGGAAACTGAAATACTGATTGAAATCTCCTCTGTTAATGAGAGACACAAGTAAGATTAGAATAAAAAAAAAAAAACAGGATGACAAAAAACAGTGAATTAGCATCCTCCTGTTATTCTGAGGTCTTTACCTATCAATGTGAAGTTGACTGTTGTTGTGATTTTGTATGATTAAAAAAGCATCTGAGATAATATACATTCTGAAACACAGTCTTTCAGTTGAAATGAGATTTTTTTTCATCAACATCAGAAGGACAGATTTCAGCGGATGCACATCTCTCTGTGAAGCAAAAACAATAAAAACAGGGCATCTGTAAAAGGATATTAACTTGTTTACTCTAAGCCACACTTCTGGTGTGCATTAGAAATAAATATGTGATAAATGTGAACCAGTTAGCAATCTGCTAGTTGAGACACATTTCTTTAATCATAAAAGGTACTACGACCACACTGAAGTGTTAGTCATGATGGTTTGACGTCAGTGAAATGCCTGAAATATCTCTGATGAGTTTTGTGTGGGTGTTGTTGGCCCTGAATGGATCTGAGACTCTCTGGGAGAATTCAGTAGCAACATGGATACAAATACTTGAGTTGAAAGAAATCATACATTGAATTTGTGATTTATCTGTTCCAAATAGTCTCTGGCTGGAGACAAAGTGAAAACTGTGCTGGAAATACTTTAATGTGGTTGAGATAGGTGTGACCCTGTACATGTATACAGCTTTGAGACTTCAACTCATTTTTTCAATGACTGGCTGAGATTGTCTGCTACTAGTTCATCACTTAATTTGTTGAAATCAAGTGGTTGTAACAGCTATGCAAGCACATTTTTATTTGAACTCCCTTTAAGCTTTTTGTTAAAAAGATAGAAAGAAAAAATCTTCAAAAAATGCTAACTTATACATGTAATATTAACAGGCCAATAATATTACAACAACGTACTGTGTCCACTGCGGTGGGAACTGTGGCAAATTCCTGTAGAAACCGCTGGCATCAGAGCATGCTGGATGGCCATTTCCCACATTCGAGCCACATCCTGCCCAACACCGCTGACCTGAAATCACAATTCTGGTACTCACAATTTGATTCAGTAAAAGGACTAGATGTTACAATCCCTGATAATACATTGCTTCAAATGGAGAAAATCTTGGCTGTTATGAGGAAAGGCAGCTCAGAAACTTTATCAGCGGCATACAGCGTTGTGTGCCTGAGCTTTCAGTCTTTTACCCAGGCTAATCTGCCATTTTTTCTTCCTTGGTTAGGTTTAGGGATTAGGGATCTTATAGTGGACCTTAGATTCATCGGGTGTTTCGGCCATTATCACTAGACACCCTCATCTAAGAAGGCCCTGCCAGTGTGTCACTGGTTTTTGTTATTTTTCTTCTTCTTTCTTCTGTTTAGTTTTCTACAGTTTATTTTCTTCTATGTCATCACTGAAACTGAGAAATAATACTTACCTCTTTAACATTTATGGAGCCTCACTTCTTCAAAGGGATAGAAAAGGTGATAGAGAGAAGTAAGACAAAAAGGGACAAGATAGGAGAGAGCAGAGAGGATAGCCGGAAGGGGGGCGCCCAATCTGGCTTCCCACACCTCCCTGCCAGATCGGGCTGTACGCTTTACCTCCCCACTGGGAGGAAGAGCAGAGGGGAGAGGAGCAGAATATTTTTCTTTTCTTTCATTCCTCCTTTTGGTTTCACTACCATGAGGTTAACTGCACAGTCCCCAGGAGGCCCTGAGACAGCTGTATCAGTCAACCAGCAAAATTTCTAATGTTATATTTTACCCTTTTGACGCCCCCTGTTGAGGTAGGCCCACCACGGGTTGATCAATCCTGGGCTTGTGTCTCGTGGTTAGCTGACTGCCTTAGCTACCCAAGGCAGCCCTTTTTAGTAGGGCTGGGTATCGTCACTGATTTCTAGAATCGATTCGATTCCGATTCACAAGGTCCTGAATCGATTCGATCCACGATTCGATTCAATTTGATTCGATTCGATTCAATTGGATTTGAATCTGGGAAATTTTGCCTCAGACAGTCAGAAATATTATAATTCAGATCAGTACATTTACACATTTTTGTATCTATAAAAAGGAAGCTGACACTTTCGAGACTTTATCAAAGGTGTGAGCATCACAGCAGATGCCTTTGTGTCAAAGTAGCTGAAGATAAAACACAGAAAAACATGAAGGTGATTTTCCTGGCCTGGGATTTTATAAAAATATTCCACAGTACATCAAAAACCAAAGAAAACCATTAACCAGCACATGAACATTACCTCTGAAGTTACAGCGGTTTTATTACAGACACAGCTGAGCGTTTTGCATTTTGCATAATTTTAAAAAGTTCAGAAGCCTATTGAACGGCAAAAATCAGGTTTTCTTTTCGGAAGTAAGTAAAAGGGAAAAAAAAACATCAGCCGACAGCGCTGTAAATAACGGTAGTCTTGTGCGTAACAAGCAAGCGAATAATGCAGAAAACAGATTTCGGGGATAGACGGGAAACTGTTCTTGAAGTACACTGAGAGAGAGAGAGAGAGAGAGAGAGAGCTGTGCATGAAGTGTGATTTTATTGTGGTGGAAGCAAAACAGCAAAAGTAAGAGTGAATTCATGACGATGTTTATGTGCTGCTGGTTTGGTCAATATTATTTGGAGAGAGATAAAACTAACAGCTTTAGAATCAGCGCAAAAAGGGCGCGAACACAAAGCGCGGACCCGCCGAAACATCAGAATCAGCGAGCTGTTGGCTTTCAGCCGTGACCGTGTCCGTGCCGTCGGGTGAGAAAGTCACATCTCACTGATTCTGATCCGCGGGTCCGCGATTTGTGTTTACGTCTTTGTGCAGAAGCCGTGTACCTGCTCTCATTTGCTGTTTTAGCTGTTTGGTGGTTGTCAAAATTTTGTGACGTTTCACCTGAGATTCTGGAATTTCGGGCAAAATACATTTATATTAAAAAATCGATTCAGGATTTTAATGAATCGATATCACGATATCCAAGCCAGAATCGATTTTAATCGATGAATTGATTATTAAAACCCACCCCTACTTTTTAGCCATAGCCAGTGACTGGTCCTCTCAGCAGTGTTAGCGAATTCTCTTAAAGCCTGCCATTGCGCCTGTCCTCTGATCCCAATCTCTCTAAGCAGTTTTGCTGTTGGACTGGCAACAAAGCCCCTGCATCCCACTTCCACCAGGCGCACCTTGATCTTCCAGCCTCTGTCCTCTGCCTCAGCTGCCAAGTTGGCATACCACAGCTTCTTGCGCACAAATGTTTCCTCAATTGCTTCCTCCCATGGTACCGTCAGCTCAATGACATACGCAAGTTTTTGGGAGTTAGACCAAAGGACGAGGTCTGGTCGCAGAGTAGGTGCTACGATCTCTGTGGGATCCAAGTCCACTTGCATCTGCCAATCCCTGGCAACCTTCAGTGGGCCCATTTCTGGGGTTAAGGGGCTTGTCCTCGGCCACAGAGGAAGACAGGGGGAGCCCTCATGGCTAATTGAATGGAGAATTCATGCTTTTATTTTGTCTTTTGTTTTTATATATTTATTTTAAATATTTAGTTATTTAGTTCCTATCAGAAAAACATAAATTCACAAATGCAAAGAGTTTAAAAAACAAGTCTTTAGAGCAGTCTGAATCCTGAATGAGACACATAGGAATTATTAGTACTGTACTTTGATCTAACTTTATCTGAAAAGATTTTTAAAATCGCACTTCATCACTTTAAACAAACTTTAAAAATATTAGTAGTTTCTGATTTTTTTTAAAGTAAGTTATGTAAAATTTTAACTTGAAAGTATTTCTCATTGCAGAAATAACTAAGTATGAATGGTAGAAGAAGACTGTAATCCATGTACCACAGAGGGGAAACGTCACTTTTTCGATTTCTGTCTTTTAGTTTAATATTTTTATAGCTGACATTTTTAAAACTTTCACCCCCTTAATTTTTACACCAATATCTCTCAAATATCTTTCTTAACATGATTGCATTTGAGGGGTGTTATTATTTCATGTCACCAGTGTTGGGGAGTAACAGAATACATGTACTGGCGTTACGTATTTAAAATACAAAATATGAGCAACTGTATTCTGTTACAGTTACTGCTTAAATAGGTGATAATTAGAATACAGTCAATTTGTTGAAATAAATAGATTACACGGCGATCTTTTCCTGTTTCATATGTTACACTATCCCCTCTCTAATTTTGGTAATTCCACACATTGCCGGAAACCCAATCAAAGCACACAATAAGAGGCTCTAATGTGAGCGTCCAGTTAATGTTGGTGGTGTCAGCTACACAATGAACCCAGAGCCAGCACAACAGAGCCAGCAGTGAACGGGCAGGAAGGCATTTCTTACTTGGAAATTCTGACACCACTTCATGAGAAGAATGGGATGGGCAAAATCTGACCGTGCAATGCAAACTTTGTTTTCCAGCAACCAAGCTGCTCTCAGCATCAAAAGACTCCAACCTAAAGAAACATCTGGAAGTAAGTTCTTTATTTAAAAACTAACATTAGCCTACTGCAACTACCTTGTTTGAGTTATGGTATCTACCATAGCTATGGTAGTTATGTCCCACTTCAGTATCTTCGATGTACTATTGCTGTGTGATTTATTACTATTACTGATGGCTACAACCTGCTAGCTGTAAATAATCATCACATTTGAACTGAACTGAACGGAATGAAGAAAGATGTAAGAAAGAACAGGGTTGGAGAAAGAGAGATTTTAGTAAGGAGTACTCAGTGACATTTGCTAAACTGTGAATTTAAATCTTTCATGTAAATGTGAGTTTTTCAAAATTATGAAAAAAAAATGTGACAAATGTCTTTATTTTGCCAGCTCTGACGTATCCGATTTAAGACTTTGTTGAAAAACATTTCTCCTTAAAGTGCTTGCATGATATCATGCAAGCACATTAAGGATGATATCAAATCTATCAATAATATCAAATCTAATTATGATCTTAGAGAACCTGTCTTGCATCATATCAGATTAAATCTGCATCTCACCAGAATGCTGCTGCCTGTCACACATGATTCAGGTCTCTGCAGGTTCTCTCCAACATAATAAACCAGTGATGCCGTGGCGATCTCAAAGCAATGAGGATTGGCTCCATCAGGAAGCAGAGAAAAATTCTGAGCAGGCTCCAGAGACAAGATTTCAGACAGAGGGATTTCCTGCAGAGAGGATGAAGTAAAGGGGTCTGGGTGGAATACAGTTTACAGTATCAGCACCAGTACACCATACATGATGTACCTCCTGAATCTGTAGTTGAGGGGTGTGCTGTGTTGCAAGTAATTTACATTCAAATATGAATTAACATATATCTCATACCAGTAGATCACATTGCTCTCAGACTGCTGAGTTTAGAAAGTAGAATAGGAATATCAGGCCTCTCTCAGCAGACTCAAGTTCAAAAAAAGACTACTACTGTAAACTTAGCAGTTAGTCTTTAAAAGACAGGCACACCTGCAGTGATGACTTTGCAGCAACAAATAAACTGCTGGAAGGTAGTGGTCTTACCTTGTAATATTTACTTCCTGTGTCGTTCTGAAACAGCGTAATGCATTTACTGTCTAGCCTCCAGTAATGTCTTTTCCTCTGAAACATTGGAAGAGAGAAGAGGAAGAAAAATAAGGGAATACCACAAAGAAAAAAGAGTGACATTAAAGAGCAAAACAACTGAGGAAAGAAAAGAGAGCAAATAAGTATGAAGCAGACAAACAATGACAACCTGTAAATGCCTCTCAACTTGTTTTTAACACTCACGCAGCTGAAGAATTTCAGAACAGCAACACATCCTCAAACCACAAGTGGCAGTTTTCTCAGAAATAACTCTTGCTTCTATTAGGAATGAGTTTAACATTTATTATTTCTCACTATTTGTTTCTTCGATATTTCCTACCATCTCCGTTATTTAAATAGGAAGAAGCACAAACACTTAAGACAATCTTTGTACGATTCAAAGTGTATATTTATAATAATGTGTCAAACAAAGTTGGAAGCAGCACTTTGATTACAAATAGTGAAATATCTGCAACGCGTTCTGTCCTGTTTCTGAGTCCTCTTATCCTTCACTCAAAGACTTCAGAAACAGCATCACAACTGGATTCTTTGCTTGTTCTTGAAATGTAATGAGAATAAACTGTGTTTTTCCACATGGTTAAGGTCTTTTTTTTATAATTTAATTATGAATTAAATTATAATTCTAAAGTGTACCATCTTTAAGTAATTGGGAAAAATTTAACAATTACACGAATTCTCCCCAGGGTGCTGACTGACTAATCATTAGACTGAGAAGCCACTGTTTCATGTCACAAAGACAGAGGAATCGGTGAAATTAAAGGAGTAGATGACAAAGCTAAGACTGAGGCAAAGCCTGATAACTTCCTGTAACGCTGGACCCAAGAAACATAAGCCGGAGTGAATATTATGACAGCAGAACTTTTATTTAATACTGTGGTTTTGCACTGGGACACAGACACTCCCGCTCTCTCTCACTGCTGTCACGTCCGCTCTCCCCCTCCGACTGTCACTGCCAACATATAAAGAGAGACAATCACTGACAGATCCCCAGCACACCTGTTCACCCCGCCCCTGTGCCGCCCTGGGAGCTCACTGCATCACCCCTCCTCTGCAGCTGGCCAGAGACCACACCCACGCCACACTTCCGAACCAGTGAACAGAACGAAAACAAAATAAACAAACAAAAAACCCTGAGGGCGCTAGCTGTTTGCTTCATGTAAGACAACATCCACAACACGAATGTGGTGAGGTAAATAGACTGTTAAACATAAAAAGAAAGATGTACCAGAGTGTCCTTGCTGGTGTAGTGGACCATCCAGCCCTCTTTCATCACATTGCTGCTCTTCCTCTTTGTGTGTTTGACAGACTGGACGACTCGCATCAAAGGAATGTTGTTGCTGGTGGAGGGGCTTTAAGGGGCACGAAAAAAACACAGCCTCAGAAACATCTCAGTACTATATATTTTTCTTTGTGTGTAATTGTTATGTGAGTACCTGATGGCTCGGTTGGACTCATCTAGGTCAGGGTCGTGCATGTCACAGAGATCGCTGGGTCCTGCCTCTAGCAGCAAGCCACTCTCTGAGGCCAGCGCTTCATCCATGTCATCCAAGAGGCTTCCCCTTCTGTCAATATCATGGTCATCAAGGCAACCCTCCACCATGAGGGCATCCGATTCTGCACCTGGGCTCAGAAGTTCTATGCAACAATAGAATTCAGGACCTTCATTTTGTGTTTCTAAACCATTCAGAGGTGGACTTATGTGTTATGCTAATGTGTTTCAAACCCTTGTATTGATACATAATCCGAGTGTGCTAAGCTTCAGGACAGGAAATTCTCCTTCAGAATTTTAGGTTGAGAGCAGAATTCAAGATTCCATCAATTACAGAAAGTCATTCAGATCCTCACTCTACTACCACCACGTTTGACTGTTGGTCTTTTTATGGCTTCCTGTTTTACTCTCATGCCAGAAGTAACGGGACACAAACTTTTCAAAAAGTTCAGCTGTCTTGTCAGCCCACAAGTGGTGTTGTGGAGGTCAAGAGTGTCAGACACTATCATGAGTTTGAAACTAGATCAAAGGAGTGACGTTGAATGTTATCATTGAAATTTTAGAATATATTCAACAACCTGTAGAGAGTATCCCAGAGATGAGACAGTAGTGATTAGACCTCAGTAGAAATGTATGTGAAGAGTAGAGAGCTGATGAGGTGTTGGGAAAGTATGATGTAAGGAATTGCAGAAGAGCAGGTAGTAGTGGTGATCACATGCTTTAAGAAAAAACAAAACAAAAGGTGACGTATAAGAGTGGAGAAAGGTGCACAGAGGTTGATTTTTGTAGAAGGCGTCATATGCTAAATTGGCAATAGAGCTAACAATGCTGTAAAACAGGACCCAACACTGACAAGTCTAAAGTTCAACAGGTTTATTGAGTTAAAGTAAGTGAGAAGTTGAAAGGGGAGGTAAACACACGGATTCCTGACAAAACAAAGCAGGTAGGAGGACCTGTCACTGAGTCACTGAAAGAGTTAGCCTTGGATAATCCACAGAATAGCTCCACAGAGTGTTGTTTAGAGTGAATTTGACTGCCTACTTGGTTGGTCTGGAAGAGATACTTGCAGAGGGACAGAGTCGTAGGAAGGTGAAGAGGCAGGTGAGTTGAAATTGAAAGTTTCTTGATCAAGGATTTCAGGAGGAGAAGACCAGTTTGACAGAGACAGTTAGGGGACACTGGAGGTGGAGCTGCTCTTAAGGCAGGGGACAAATGGGACACATGGCAATGAAGGTGTTACACTTGAAAGCTTGTGCCACCACAGGAGACACGGAGGAGCCAGATTACCAGTTAAAGGAGGCATAAAATCTGGTGGAGAGTGAACCCTGGATCTGGTCATACCAAGATCTGCCCAACCCAGCATAAACCCAAAACAGCAAACAGACCAGGAAGGACCATGACAAAGATTGGAGACTGCAAGGTAGTATCAGAAATCTAGCTAGGCAGCATTAGGTGGTAGTCTGCAGGATGACTTTGGAACTCAAGAAGAGTAAGGGAATGAGGAAAGGACTAAGTTATGGAAGCTGAAGGAAGAATGTTATGCAGCATTTAGGAAGGAGTTAAGGGTTGTAGGGAAGAACTGCCAGATGACTGGGAAAAGTACAGCTGACGTGGTTAGGGAAACTGCCAAGAAAGTATTTGTCTACAGCCCCTTCTTGCTCTGGCCCCTTTACACTGAATACATGTGTGAATGAGAGACAGGTAGGAGTAACAGTGAAACCGGGGCAAAGGGAGTTAAAGTACATGACTGGTCCATTACCAGGGATCAATCATCCAAAGCATTGGTCAGTGCACAAAGGTGTTGGTGGAGATGAGTGTCAGGGTTGAATGGACAAAATTAGGAATGAGAATTAATAATGCAATGGAGTGATAGCTTAGGTTGAGTTGTTTGGAGACAAAGCTAGAGAGGCAAGGTTTAGACATGTTAGACGTGTGCAGTGGTGGGATGGTGACTACATTGCGCAAAGGGTGTTGAACATGGAGGCAGGAGGGAAATAGGATAAGCACAGAAAAGATACATGAATGTAGTGAAAGTGCATATACAGAGGGTTGGTTGTGAGAAGGATACTATTGATAGCAAGAGACTGAGCCAGATGAAACACTGGGAGTATACATATATATATATATATATATATATATATATATATATATATATATATATATATATATATATATATATATATACTATAGCTATGCTAAGCGAGCCTACCGCAGACATGAGCGAGACAGATAAATATGAAGGCATGCCGGCTCGGACGTCGCCCGGATCAACAAGGTCCGCGTCAGGTGTTGAGGAACCAGGGCACCCTGACGAAAAGTGGGCTACTGGAACAAGAAGGCATCGGTGGGCAAGAGACGAAAACAGGGCGTTGTTGGAATGCTACTACGCAAGTAACCCCGGCGGAAGGGGCTACATGAATAGGATGACGGACCTATGGATTCTTCGATACCCAACATCCACAATGACGGCGAAACAACTAGTAGCTCAGTGTTCCAACATTCGAAAGAAGGGACTGCTCTCACAGCTAGAGATTGACGAGGTACAACACAAATGCTACGGCAAGGAGGAGTCAGGACGCCAGGTCAGGGGGGAGATATCATCACCCCCACCCGAGATTGGGTACATAGCCCCAAGTGCGATAGGAGAAGGATCGTTGAGTGCGAGAGGAACTGACCTGAAAAATAGGATCATGGCCAAGCTTGAAACCTGGATCCCCCGTAGCCGGTTACCAAGATTACGTGAAGTACCCTCAGAAGGTCTGCTAGATGATGTTAATGCAGCACTACGGGCAATACCTACAACCACGATTACCGACACTAACAAGCTGATCTACAATACGGCAGCAGTGATCAGTGAGATGCTTGGCTACAAGTTGAACAGCCACAAGGGGCAGTACCCTCCATGGAGAAGGAGGCTAGAGGGCAAGATCAAAGTAGCACGGAGGGAGGTTAGCCAACTAACGGAGTTGCAGAAAGGTGCGACAAAGAAGGTGCCTAAGAAATACAGCAAGCTGTCCATACCTGAGGCCTTGGAAACTGCCAAGCAAAGACTCACAGCCTTGGCCAGCCGCTTGAGGAGGTACACCAGAGAGATAGAAGGCAGGAGAATAAACCAGCTGTTCTCCACAGAACCAGCAAAGGTGTACTCTCAGTGGCAAGGGAACAATAATAAGAGAACAGCACCACCAAGGCTGGAGACGGAGCAATACTGGAAGAGCATATGGGAGAAGGACGCAACCCATAACGGCAATGCTCAGTGGCTAGTGGATCTGAGGGCAGACCACAGCGACCTCCCTGAACAGGGTCCAGTAACCATCACAGTGGCAGATATCCAAGAAAGGGTCTCCAGTATGAAGAGTTGGACAGCACCAGGGCCCGACATGGTTCACGCCTACTGGCTAAAGAAGCTGACTGCACTCCACGAGCGTCTGGCAGCACAAATGAACCAGCTGCTAGTTAACGAGAGACACCCGGAATGGCTAACCGAAGGTCGGACGGTCCTGATCCCCAAGGACCCCAAGAAGGGACCGGTCCCCTCCAACTACCGACCAATAACCTGCCTCAGTACTACATGGAAGCTCCTGTCAGGCATCATATCGGCTAAGATGAACAGGCACATGGGTCAATACATGAGTGGGACACAGAAAGGAATTGGCAAGAATACCAGAGGCGCAAAACACCAGCTACTGGTAGACAGAACAGTCAGCCGAGACTGCAAGACCAGACTGACCAACCTGTGCACTGCCTGGATTGATTACAAGAAGGCCTATGACTCAATGCCCCACAGCTGGATACTGGAATGCCTAGAATTGTACAAGATCAATGGGACCCTAAGAGCCTTCATCAGGAACTCAATGGGGATGTGGCGTACAACACTAGAGGCCAACTCCAAGCCCATAGCACAAGTCACCATCAAGTGCGGGATCTACCAAGGAGATGCTCTGTCCCCACTGCTGTTCTGCATAGGCCTGAACCCCCTCAGTGAGATCATTAACAAGACTGGCTACGGATACCGACTACGGAACGAGCAGTTGTCAGCCACCTCCTGTACATGGATGACATCAAGCTGTATGCCAAGAGTGAACGAGACATCGATTCACTGATCCACACTACCAGGCTATACAGCAATGACATTGGAATGTCGTTCGGACTGGAGAAGTGTAGCGGATGGTAACAAAGAGAGGGAAGGTAGTCAGAACTGAGGGGATTGAACTACCAGAAGGCAACATTGCAGACATAGAGGACAGTTACAAGTACCTGGGGATCCCGCAGGCGAATGGGAACCATGAAGAGGCCGCTAGAAAGCTGCAACCACCAAGTACCTGCAGAGGGTCAGGCAAGTCCTGAGGAGTCAGCTGAATGGTAAGAACAAGATCCGGGCCATCAACACGTACGCCCTGCCCGTGATCAGGTACCCTGCTGGGAGTAATAGGCTGGCCAAAGGAGGAGATAGAAGCCACTGACATAAAGACAAGAAAGCTCCTTACCATGCATGGAGGGTTTCACCCCAAGTCCAGCACCCTGAGGCTGTACGCTAAGCGGAAGGAAGGGGGCCGGGGACTGGTGAGTGTCAGCACCACAGTCCAGGATGAGACAAGGAACATCCAAGAATACATTGGGAAGATGGCCCCAACTGACCTAGTGCTCAGTGAATACCTCAGGCAGCAGAAACCCAAGAAAGAGGAGGGAGACGAGGAACCATCATGGAAGGACAGGCCCCTGCACGGTATGTACCACCGGCAGATAGAGGAGGTGGCTGATATCCAGAAATCCTACCAGTGGCTGGACAAAGCTGGACTGAAAGACAGCACAGAGGCACTAATCATGGCAGCACAAGAACAAGCTCTGAGCACAAGATCCATAGAGGCTGGGGTCTATCACACCAGGCAAGACCCCAGGTGCAGGCTGTGTAAAGATGCCCCAGAGACAATCCAGCACATAACAGCAGGGTGCAAGATGCTAGCAGGCAAGGCATACATGGAACGCCATAACCAAGTGGCCGGCATAGTGTACAGGAACATCTGTGCCGAGTATAACCTGGAAGTCCCGAGGTCAAAATGGGAGATGCCCCCAAGGGTGGTGGAGAATGACCGAGCTAAGATCCTGTGGGACTTCCAGATACAGACGGACAAAATGGTGGTGGCTAACCAACCGGACATAGTGGTGGTAGACAAACAGAAGAAGACGGCCGTAGTGATCGATGTAGCGGTTCCGAATGACAGCAATATCAGGAAGAAGGAACACGAGAAGCTGGAGAAATACCAAGGGCTCAGAGAAGAGCTCGAGAGGATGTGGAGGGTGAAGGTAACGGTGGTCCCCGTGGTAATCGGAGCACTAGGTGCGGTGACTCCCAAGCTAGGCGAGTGGCTCCAGCAGATCCCGGGAACAACATCGGAGATCTCTGTCCAGAAGAGCGCAGTCCTGGGAACAGCTAAGATACTGCGCAGGACCCTCAAGCTCCCAGGCCTCTGGTAGAGGACCCGAGCTTGAAGGATAAACCGCCCGCAGGGGCGTGCTGGGTTGTTATATATACTAATATATAGTATAGGTAGGTAGTAACAGCACTAGGTGCGTGACTCCCAAGCTAGGCGAGTGGCTCCAGCAGATCCCGGGAATAACATCGGAGATCTCTGTCCAGAAGAGCGCAGTCCTGGGAACAGCTAAGATACTGCGCAGGACCCTCAAGCTCCCAGGCCTCTGGTAGAGGACCCGAGCTTGAAGGATAAACCGCCCGCAGGGGCGTGCTGGGTGTTTATATATATATATGTGTGTGTGTGAAAAAGAAATTAAAGCATCATTTTTATTCAGTCTCAAGCCTGATTTTAAAATAAAATTTTAAGTTATGATGGGGTTTATGGATGTTGTAGCGGTGGCTAAAGTAACGCTCTGTGTTCATATAATACAAAAACAAAGAAATGTGTTTGTGTGTCGGTAGGTACCTCCATTTTTTGATACTTCTCCCAGGCAGTTGTTTGGCACTTTTTGCGCACATCGTTTATGACAATTAAATTTACAGTCTGAGAGAGAAACAAGAAAGAGGAACACAAGGCTTAGGAAGAGGCTTTGACATCTGCACCACAGTAACTGTTCAAAATCTTAATACAGATGAAGACATGATGCAGTTAAAACTCCAAAACGGCCAGATTACACTATATTGCTAAAAGCATTTCCTCGTATGCCTTTATGAAGTTGAGCGACATCCTATTCTTAATCCATAGGGTTTGATGTTGGCCCAACCTTTGCAACCTTACACCTTGGCTCACAGTCCCCACTCATTTATACTGAAGGTGTTCTATCATGTTGAGGTCAAGACTGTCCATGTCTTTATGTTACTTGATTTGTGCACTGGTTTGCACACCAGTTGTACGCCCTTTCATTTAAGACGTCTGATGATGCAGTTCTATATCTCCCTGTTCCAACATAATTGCACTTATGTTGGAACAGGGAGATATAGAACTGCATCATCAGACGTCTTAAATGAAAGGGCGTACAACATGATGTCTATAACCAAGGTTCTAGAAACTGTTAAACAAAGCTCTGGTGAATAGGATGGATTTTCTCCAAAGATCCATCCAGGGTGTACTCTAAGCCAGCGGTCCCCAACCCCGGGCCTCGGACCGATACCGGTCTGTGAGTCGTTTGGTACCGGGCCGCGAGAGTTGAGGCTCAGGTGTGAAATGT